GTTTGTAATTATTAATAATATTATTTTATTACTTACTATATATATATATATATATATATATATATATAAATATATTCGAAATTTTTCCAATTTAATTATTGAAACTCGAGTGATTCTTTATCTTAATTTATAATTTATAAATTTTTGGAAAAATATTAAAAACTTTACACGATAAATATATATTTATTTGTAAGATACATTTAAAAATTCTTTCATTTTACCTAGAATTTTTAATAAATTCCCTCGAAAATTAAAAAATTTTTATTTTAAATTTTTGAATAGATACTCTGAATAATATTGTATAAAACTTTCATTAGACTTTAATTAGTATATCTATCGTAAAGCTTGCAGATATAATTGCAGAATAAGCGTACACATCCCAGAATCATTGTACATATGTCAAATATTCTACATAATTTTAACAATGGTGGATTGGTCTATTGCAATATATACGTAATTTATAGATACAATAGATGTACGATATTTATAATTTCAACGATGAATCATTTGACTGTCATCCAATTTGCGTCATGAAATGACGCACGGTCTTCGTATCGAGCGCTTGAGAGTAAATTTTTCATCATGTCGGGGAAAATTGCTCGGGGGTTTATGCATACGATCTGCTTTGTCTTATTAGACACCGCGCGTTTGTATACGGAACGTGTCCCCGATGTGATCAACGCCGAACGTGCAATTATGCACGTTCGCCGAGCAGACCCGTTCCCACTTTCTAAGCCGCGGGATTTCGAGAAGGGAGTATCATTTGGGCGTGTACGAGAGCTCTCAGTCGTAATCGCATTTGCAGATACGCCATTTCTTGAAGTAATGGCACATCCGTGAGATTTCCACGGCTTTGAGGTCTCATCTTCAGTTCACTAATTGATATTTATATCGTACAAAGTTGTTTAGGCATGAAAATAAGCAGGATATTAAAAACGTGTTATAATGTCGCAAATTTATTTATATTATATATATATATATATATATATATATATATATATATATATTAAAATGATAGAGTTGTATCTATGTATGTGAATTTTGAATTTGTTATAAAAATTTTTTTAAACTTTCTATTTGATTTATTTTTTGTAGATCAGTATCACTTTTGTATTATTACTGGTCCAAATATGGGAGGTAAAAGTACTTATATTAGGTCTGTTGGCATAACTGCATTAATGGCTCATATTGGTAGTTTTGTTCCTTGCAATGAAGCAACTATATCGTTATTAGATTGTATATTAGCTCGAGTAGGAGCTGATGATTCTCAACTGAAAGGATTATCAACTTTCATGATGGAAATGATAGAAACTGCTGCTATTTTGAAAGTAATTTATATTATTTGCTATTAAGGCTCCTGAGTAATCACCGCAATCATATTAGAATTGTGATGTTATAGGCGAAAAATGACACAGTAAAGTTTATTGCAACTAATTTGCAAATAAAGAGATATTTGATTAAAACAACATTTGAGATGGCTTTAAGACACTTATAAAAATGAATGCTATCCTTTCTTTTCCTGATAATCAATAAATAGTAAAAGGCACGTGAAATGAAACTTATTCAGGTAGAAAACACGGTTTGACAGCTGTTAAAAGAAGTGAAAAATAAAAATGCTTTTACATATAAAATTTAACAATAATTTTAGCTGTCGTCCATTTTTATGAATTTGGTAAATACGAAACAAGTCACACTGCACAATTAAGCACATAATAACGAAATTGGTTGTAAATAAAAAATCCGCACATCACTTAATATAAAAAATGGATAAGGATTAAACTAATTTTTATCACGATAATGTGTCGCTAACGTCAACGCGAAGTTCTTAGCTGAGTACTCAGGAGCCTTAAGAAATTGCCTAACGAAAATACAATATGATCTCCGATATTAAATATTTACAGACAGCAACGTGTAACTCTCTTGTAATTATCGATGAATTGGGTAGAGGTACATCTACCTATGAAGGCTGTGGTATAGCTTGGTCAATAGCAGAGTAAGTATGTGTATACAAATTGCCAAAAAATTATACTAAGAAACATGTTATATATCATGTTATATATTCTTTTAGACATTTGGCAAAGGACATTAAATCATATTGTTTGTTTGCTACACATTTTCATGAAATCACTAAGTTAGCCGAAGAAATTCCCGCAGTACAAAATCATCACGTTACCGCTCTTGTTGAAGAAAACAAGTTAACATTACTTTATAAAATAAAGCCAGGGATTTGCGATCAAAGCTTTGGTCTTCATGTGGCTAAAATGGCTAACTTCCCCACAAGAAGTAATAGAGGTATATATATATATATATATATATATATATACTAGTT